AAGCGTTAAAACAGAGCGCCCTGGCGTGGCCTATCATTAATATATGCAGGAAGGAGCGCCAGATACGCCGTTGCCTGGAAGAAATTTAAATTTAGGAAAAAAACTGTTATTGCACGCTATAAGCATGCTCAGAATAGGGTCACGGTTATCGGTATCGGGAATTGTCGCATTTCTAAACGCAGGCCTTGGATAACGGTCTTTTTGATACTGATCTTGAACACTGATCTTAAAAAGGGGGAATGAATACTGTTCAGTCGACCTAGCTGTAGTGAAGGGACCAACGACAATATGAATGTCACCCACCTGAAAACAACATACGACTAGAAGCTTCTGGAAGTTTAAGTTGGGAACATAACCAATGATTATCACGAACCGAAAACTTCCCTAATTGCAGGACTCAGTTCAACCAGGTAAACAAACTTCGATTTGAAATAACCCTTAAGGCGACAACACCCGAGTTTGTGGCACTGGTAAATTAGTAGGGTGAGATGTTTTCGCTGCGAACAAAGAGGTAACCGCTTTTCCGAAAGGTCACTGCGTCGATTCTTCGATTATGCTTTATGGAAATGGGACTTATCCCGGACAATGCAAGAAAGACGACTGAGTAAGTTTGGACATGTTCTTCGCCGTCAACCTAGCGAGCTCAGTGTTACTGCCCTCGACCCGAAACCGTTACCTAATTGCAAACGTCGAATTGGCGGTCAGCTCAAAACTTGGCTCGACTCAGTGCGTCAGGCATGGAAGTGGTTTTTGGACCTTCGGTATTCGATCTCCGAGGCTGGTGAATGGAATGGGCTCGAATTGTCCAGGTCGGCTCCCACGTGTGAAGAAGCACCGTACGGGACATCACCGAGGCCGGCTAAATCAGTCATGATTGCAGCCGCAACAATAAGAAGTACGAAAACTATTAAACGACGCTTGCAAATCGAGTGTTCTTTCTGCATTAGCCTTCATTTCGAGAGCAGACGTGGGAATAGGAACTACAGCAAGCTTATAAAAATGACAAGTATATCTGAGGCAGTCAGGAGATGGAGTCGGATCAGGTGCGTAAGTCAATCGCATTAATTACTTCTGTGGGAGAATGCCACGTGCTAAACCTGTAAAATAACACAAGACAGACCGAAATTCTGCATAAAGCACTGACTGGCAATTTCCATTGGTGTCAAATGTTAATAGTGTGTTCTAACCGTAAAGATGTTTGGTCCGTGGGTTTAACATAAGCGAGTCGCTTTACTAAGTTCCGTTCAGAGCACCAGACTTTTACTACTGATGATTCATGCAATTAGTATCGTGCCTGAAAATTTGAATTTATAACTTAGTTTAAAATGATAAATATGCTGGGAAAAAATATTCGAGTTAATATATGGATGCAGGAAAAAATAGCATTGATAATAAAAGTTCTACTACAGAACTAAGGCTTACTTTGACGCAACTGCCTAGCCTCCGGAGTCAGAGCAAAGAACATGGGAAAGTGGTAGAGGAACATGAGGGAGTAGTTGCCTCTATGTGGGGTGCTAAGAAAGATTATTCCACGGGTTTGACTTGAAATCGGGTCCGTAGGGCGATCCACGGGCAGTGAAGAACTGCCACTCAGCGTGTCCTCGCTGTCTGCACTGTCGTTATTTCGAGTAGCCATCGACGACTTGGCAGGGAGAAAGTCCTCGGGTGCACCGGTTTGCTGATTCTCTGTAGGGAGGTCAGTATACATCACGGGCATGGACTCTGGAAGTTGTCGGGAGCCAGCAGGACCGCTTTGAGAGCTGGTGTTAGAGGCAAGTCCATCGGGCTGTGAGGCTGGTCTTGAAGGTGGACTGAGTTCGGTGTGTGTTAACATCTCCTCGGCTCCCGTAGCCGATATCCGCAAAAGTTCTTTAGTCAAAATGCCTGAGAAGGGGAGGGGGGAGGAGGGAATGAATACGCAGCATGAAACGATATAAGCAATGAACAGAGGATGAAAAACGCAGTTGACCAGAGGAACAATGGGATACGCAATACTGTCCGACAGTGGTCGTCAGAATGTAGCTGTTCCCATGCATTCAACTCGTTACGACGATGAAAAACACCCGAAAAGTAGTATAACCAGAACAGAAGGCAGTAGAGAACATTTAATAACGTGCATCGAAAGCAGTAAAAGAGCTAAAAGTCAGAACCACTGGCAATCGACTTTCAGAATGCGGTACCCGTTTTTTGAGTCGAAAGATGGAGGCAACTAAAGGGGCTGCATTAACATAAGTCCGCCTAATTGACGGAGTGTGTTCAGGACATAACATGGAACACATATTGGCTGCACCGTCAAAGGGAGTCTTACGAATTTGTGCGAGACAACCCGACAGCAGAGAGCATTAGTTCTCACAATATCTCCTGCAACGAACTCTCAATCTTTGCTGGCATTAGGAGGAGAGGGGTGATATTGTACACCCAGTCACCAATGTGTATTTGTCTACACAACTGAGATCGTCCTAATACACTGAGTAATTTTTAATAATGAGGCGGCTAGTGTTTATCGGAGACATACGAGAAAAGCGGTTCCGTACTCGATAAGAGGCAGTAAAGCCTTTCTAGTATCCACATGCTTTTCATTATGCATTTATGAGACGTTGAATAAACAGGATATTTTTCGAAAACATACGTTTTGACAAGCAAAATAACAGGAAGAAGCCCGACTCCGACCTCCAATAGCACTACAGCACTACTGTGAAGGCAAGCGGGTGAAAAGCCTGCATAATTAATCAAAGCAAGTGTCCTCTAAAATCTTCGAAAGAGGTGCACAACAGCTAGACGAAAGGTAGGAGCCTTCGAAGGGGAGATAGGAGATGAGTGAGTTTGTGAACAGACACTTATTTGATGACCAGTAGCCATTGCTATTCATTACAGACAAACAAAGCACTGACTGACGTTGTATACCGACATAAAGTGAATGCGACAGGTGAGCAAAGTACCGCGGAACCACAGATAGAAAACGATGCGACTGTAAAGGGGAAGGCAATAAAATAAGAATGGCGTGACTCCTCACCTCCGGCAGAATGCGAGATCCAGATTATGGGACGCTGTCCGACGCCCGCCGTCAATAGCTGTTGGAGGATGTCCTGTGCACGTTGATCAATTCGACGGCTGAAATAAAAGGAATAGTCAATAAATTGGTAAGCCTGTATGGTCAACGAGGTCGTGGTGGATCAGGCAGGTACTGATTTTCTGTATTGAAGAATCGGCATCTCAAGAAATATATATCTTACTAACGGTAAAATCCTTTGGGAGAGTATAATGTTTATTGTTGTTTACTGTTGCAACCACTCGGCGGGGTTCCAGATCCAACAAGGGCTACTTGCCTGCCTACCGTACGAGTTCTGGTTCACAACGATATCTCTCAACCGTTCGAAATCCGGTCTGGTGTCCGACGGGGCTGCGTCCTGTCGCCCATTGCTTTTCACTACGTCACTGACTGGATTCTCGGGAAGGCTCTACATGAAGAGGGCGGTGTTGAGCTTGCACCCGGACGCCGACTAACTGATATCGACTACGCCGATGATATTGCGC